CTCCCCTCCCCTCCCGCCGCCCCCGCAGAGGAGCCCCAGCTGTTGGCCTTCTGGGCTCGGCCGGGCTGGCCAGGCCTCTTCGCAGCGGGATGTGGGACTGCCCTGCCCCCCAGGTAGGACTGCCCTTGCCTTAGGCCCTTCCCGGGCGACCAGTCCCTAGCGTCCCTGAGACACTGATTTCAGGAAATTCTTGCCAGAAACACAGACATCCTCAAAACCACATGAGACCTTGAGGAGTCGTTTGATCTCTCCCCCTGCTTCCCGTGCCCTAAAGCCGCTCTGAGAGGGAAGGCGTCTCCTTCAGAGGTGACTCTGGTGTCTGACCACCTCCAACACCAGCAAACATGTCCAGTCGTGAAGGATCACGTCCCACCCATGGTGGCGACAGACTGCAGCTTCTCATGTGGGTGAAGGGTGGGATTCATAAGGCTGATGGGGAGTCAGGGAAGACAGGGGTCCACCTCCTGCTGGTCCTGAGCAAATAAGAGCAAGCTCTGGGACTTGGTGTGTCCGTCACCAGGGCTGATCTCCCACAGAGAGGACCTCATTTAACTGCCCAAACCCCTGGAACTTCTGCTCCCTTCTCTGTGAGCGGGGGTCAGAGACCCTACCTTTAGGGGTTGTTTTGAGGATTAAATGAGCAAAGTGGAAAGTGACAGATGACCCGGTGTTTGGCACAAGTTTTTCTTCCCTTCCCTATGTACGCCTGCCAGGATTCTCCACGTGGAGCTGAAAGCTTCCTTTGCAGGGAAGGGGGCGCCAGAAAGATCCTTGGCTTCAATTAGCCAGTTCTGGTGGCTGAAGTCCCACCATCAACATTTCAGTCCCATCTGTGAGTTGTCGACAATCATTAAGCAGAGATGAGAGCTGGGGTCTTTGCTCTCCAGAAGCTTCCGGGGTGGGGGCTAGAGAGACAGTAGGCTGCAGAACACATTTCCCAGCCCAGGGCCTCATGCTGGGGGACGTCCTGGGGGTGGGTGACCAGAGAAAACTTTGAGCTGAGGACAAGCTGGGACAGAAGCCCTCCTGCCTTTGGTAGGGGCCGTATGAGGCCTGGGGGAGCGAGTGAGGCTTGGTGCAGCTTGGTGTCAGCCGGCAAGGAAGGAGGCTGGGGGCTGGGTGCAAATACAGTGTAGGTCACACAGCGAGACAAAGTTCCCTTTGGGTGAAAGGAATGTGAGGGGCGGGCAACCGCACTGCAGGGCAGTCGCGGGTGGGGACATGTGAAGGGGCTACTTAACGCACATTCATGAGCTCAGCACCAGGTGACACGTCCCGACCCAGGGGAGCGGTGACAGCACTTAGCTACTTAGTAGTGGTTAATGATATTCCCGGGCATCACAGTTGAAAGTGGAGATTCACATATCCGAGTAGTTCTGGCAAAGTTTTCCAATAACCAAACTAAGTACCCAAAACATTTTCCTTTAATATTTGCTACCACAGGGATGACGTAGTGTATGTTTTTTCAGAGAATCCATTTGACCTTGAAGCAAAAGCATATCAGTTTCAAAACTACACCTGTCTGAGTTAGGTACATTCACTACTTTTTGTATCAACTCAGTATAATTGACATAAATTCAGAAGAATATTGCATGAATTCAAAAGCAACTATAAATGTATCATCAACAAACTATTCAAATTTTTCTTGTAAATTTTGCAGCCACTTTACATCATGCTGTCTACTGTAATTAAAATCCTTTACATATTGATTCATGTGAAAAAGTATGCAAAGTCATAATTATTGATCTCTAGTAGTAAAAGATTTAATTTGAAATTCTTCTGTTTTGGACAGGTCACAAATGAACTTTTCCTTTCTTTGGAGCTCCAGATGTACCTTGATCATACGTAGTGTGATATTGGTGAGAAAACTTACACTGATATTTAAAATCTTTGATTGCTGAATATTTGGTTAACATTCTTTTTTGTTTCAAGAAAACCTTGGAGTTAAAAAAAAAAAAAAACAAAGAAAATCTTGGGGTTAACAGTGCAGTAAACTTTAGTAAAACCCTTCCATGACTCAACCAATGAGTGTTGGCAATGAAAAGCTTCTTAAATTCATGGTCTCCTACTTCTTTCAATAGTCCCCTAAACTGCTGATGTCTCATAGTATTTAAGTACCGAACAATTTTAACAACTGTGTCCATGACACTTGCACAGAGTCTGTTCAGAAAAGCGAGCCCAAATATTTTCTGTCTTCAGTGGAATGAAGCCATGTGGGAAACATCGGTCTCTTGTTTGAAAATTCCAACACCTCAGTCACACTGGCCACATGTCAAGTGTTCATTATGAACCATGGTGTCTATATATGTTCATAAATGCATGGGATATTTCTAGAAGGAAAAACAAAAAACTTGTAGCAACGGTTGCCTCTGAGGAGAGGAACTGTTTGGCTGAGGTAAAGGGGAGAGAGGAAACTGCATGCCTTCCGTATTTTTACAATTTCATACCGTCTGGGTAATTTGTTCCTTAAAGTGTAAAATTCGTTTTTAGAAGTTTAAAAATCACAAAACAGACAGCATTTCTGAAAACTCACCCTGGCAAGTATGTAGAGAGTGGACGAGAGGGGACATGTCCAGGTGCAGGACGCCCTTGGCAGGAGACAAAGGCAGTTGTCAATGAACGTGGCAGAAATGGGGGCGGTGAAGATGGAGCAAAGCAGGCGGATAAGAGGAGCGCCTGGGAAGTAAAAGGGTTTGGTGATAGACCAAACGTGGGCTCCATGGAGAGGGGTATCAGGAGGGAATTCCAGGTTTCTGCCTGAAGAATTACTCTAAAGAATTCTGAGTTCACATTCTTCTTTTTATTTATTTATTTATTTTTTGATGTGGACCATTTTTTAAAGTCTTTATTGAATTTGTTACAATATTGCTTCTGTTTTATGTTTTGGTTTTTTTGGCCGCGAGGCATATGGAGTCTTAGCTCCCCAACCAAGGATCGAACCAGCAGCCGCATGCATTGGAAGGCGAAGTCTTGACCACTGGACCACAGGGAAGTTCCACACACTCTTGTTTTTAAAACCTGGGAGGGCTTCTGTGGTGGCGCAGTGGTTGAGAGTCCCCCTGCCGATGTAGGGGACACGGGTTCGTGCCCCAATCCGGGAAGATCCCCCATGCCGTGGAGCGGCTGGGCCCGTGAGCCATGGCTGCTGAGCCTGCGCGTCCGGAGCCTGTGCTCCGCAACGGGAGAGGCCACAACAGTGAGAGGCCCGCGTACCGCAAAACAAAACAAAACAAAACAAAAAACCGGGCAACTCTCTGAATTATGCCTTATAGTTCCTTTCCCACATTCTCCCTAATACTTCCTTCTGAAATTTTGATCAGATGCTTGTTAGACCCTCTCACTCTAGCTTCCTTATCTCCTAATCCCTTCTGTATTTTTTTAAAATTTTTCATCTCTTTATTCTACGTGCTGCATTCTGGTTGAATCTTTCATTCATTATTTACCAGGTGTACTAATTTCTGCTTCAGTTATGTGTAATCTGCTTTTAATCATTCTATGAAATTTTAGGTTCCATTAAAAATTTTCTAGACATTCTATTTGCTGCTTTTTCAAATCTTCCTGTTCCTTTTGGATACTCTTTTGTGCTCTTTGGCCATTCGCATACGTTCTTTGGAGAAATCACTATGAAACTCCTTTGACCATATTTTAACTTGTTTGTTTGTTTGTTGTTGAGTTGTAGGAGTTCTTTAT